TTTTTTCTTTCTCGGAACTCGGGAGATCAGAAAACGAAGTTCCACTAATCTCTGCCATTCATCTTCACCTAGGGCCTCAAATAACTATGTCTAACCTTAAATCCTTTCCCAACATAACAAATGCTACTGCTATAGGTGCCAGCTGGAAGTAAGAAGGGAGCGGAGTGGCACTATAGAGCCAGTTGAGCTTCATAACAACAACGATTATCTGGGGACCAAGTGGGTGCTATTCGTGCCATGACCACCTTCCCCCAACCAATCTAAATTTACTACCATTCATTGACTCACAAGTACAATCGACTCATAAAATGCCTTCAAAATGGAGTTTGTCCTTGTGGTTTTGAATGAGGCACGCAACATTATGATGGTGCCCAGTGAGATGTTTTCATCGTCATAAGCAACTTGAATCTTAGCCCATAGAATTTTGAAAAGAGGGCTAAATAGAGATTTGAAAGGGGACATGAACTCATCCCATTATGGTCTTTCCCACGATTAGTTTCCCAAATGGGGTTGCCTTCTAATTATCGTAGTTGGACTTTCCCATTCAGTGAAAATTAGAAACGAATCAAAACATAATGGAGAGGTGAGACAGAATGATTCAGGAACGGTTCCAGAAGTGGTCAGGGTCTTTATTTACAATTGTTTTTCAATCTGAAATACAAAGAATTGTCTCTAGTAATGCATTACCATGTGGTCCACCTCAATCACAACTACCAACTGGCTTCAAAGTGGTAATCTTCACACTGGGCCACTTTCAATGTTCCTAGATGGTCCCCTAAAGATGTTATAGGAAGCCCATCAAGATATCTGATCCTCAGGCTAGGGACACCCACTCTTTTGAGACCACCACCGGAAATCTCAATCCCGATCATGACCGCAATACTGACATCTCACCTGGGACCTGGGCAGGTTCATTAGCGCAAACATGACGTCATTCTTGACAAGCTGCATCAGCTCATCAGAAAACAAACATGCGCTTATTACTTGTTCAGCACAAATAACGGAGTTCTGTTTTCGCTTATACCCGCTCGAGCGCCCTATACGGACTTTACATTTTAACTCGTTCGATTTCCTCACCTAACATGACAAGTAACTGTCAGAGGCCCTTTAGAAGTTCTTCGGAGAATGGGTTCCGAAAAACTCCCTGAGGGGCCCTTATATGAACTCATTGGACTCCTTGTTAGTCCTTCCATCTCCCAACTACTTGAGCGAGAGGAACCTACTACGTTATCTGGAACTACATATACTACAAGTTACATCTATGAATCTGACGCTTAATATGGCATAGTTCTGATGTTTTCTACTAAACTACTTACTGTTTATCAGTTATCATTTACCATTATTTATCCGATACCAGAGTGAAAGGTGAGACCGCAGCACTAGTCAGTTGAACCAGCACTTGGCTCTGCCAAGGATCTGAATCATGCCGACGATAGTGGTGCCAGCTGTCAGTGCCTTGCAAAAAATGCAAAATTTGAAAAAGTCAGGTTATTTTCACTCCAACGTAGTAAATTGTTTTGCAGGAATCACATCTGAAGGCTTTGACTTGATCCTGAATGAGTCT